AGATGATAGCATGGCAAAAAAAGAATGATATGGCAAAATAAAGAATGACATGGCAAAAAAAAACCTTAAAATATTTCCTTTTTTTTTTCCTTCCATCTTCTTCCTTCCCTTTCATCTTCTTCCTTTCCTTTTGCTTTCTGCAAACCCTAACACCTTCTAACATTTAAATCAAAAAATAATACAAACCCAGAATCTCCCCAAACCAGTCACCGCCCTAAATTCTTTCTTTCAACCTTCCCAAAAAAACTCAGAAATATCATGACATATTTTTCCAAAATTCAAGCTTCTAAACATAAATATTAAAATAAAAAAAAAAGAAATTGAACCCTCACTGGGTTCTCGATCTGCTGGGCAAATTTTTTCCCTCAACCAAAATTTGCCAAATTCTCAATGAAAACAGCCTACACAAACAAAATATTCACTAGCAAAATAATCAACTGCAACCCAAAAATATCCATAAAATTCAAGCTTCTAAACATAAATATTAAAAAAAAAAAAAATCAAACCTAGCAAATCGAGAACCCAGCACGCTTGCCTGGGTTCACACCGAACCCAGCACGCTTGGGTTCACGAAGGAACCCAGCCGCCTGGGTTCGAGAAGAAACCCAGGCGCTGGGTTCTTTCGAGAACCCAGGCGCTGGGTTCTTTCGAGAACCCAGGCAGAAACCCAGGCAGAAACCCAGGCCCTGGGTTCTTTCGAGAACCCAGCGCCTGGGTTCGAGAAGGAACCCAGCTCTTGGGTTCCAACGAAACCCAGCGGCTGGGTTCTCGAAGGAACCCAACGGGTGGGTTTGAAGGAACCCAGGCCTGCTGGGTTCCGAGGGGAAAGAGAAGGGAAAGGAGAAGGGGAAGGAGAAAGAGAAAGGGAAAGGAGAAGGAGAAAGAAAAAAGAAAAAAAAAAAGGAAAAAAAGAAAAAAGGAAAAAAGAAAAAAAATTTTAAAATTTATTTTTTATATTATTTTTTTTCCACATCATCACTTTTTAGCTATATTATCTTCCACGTGGACTATTATATGACATGTCATTTGATAGCCGTGAAGTAACAGGCCACGTCACACAATTTTTAACAGAAAAACTAAATCGGGGTAAAAATGGTAAACAATAGGGACCAAATCAGGGATTTTTTTAGTTCATGGACCAAATCAGAGGTCCGTACAATAGTTGAGGGACCAAAAAGGGGTTTTAACCTAACTAATTAAACTAAGTGTTAAAGTTAACAAAATAATTTAATTAGTTATAATAATTTTTTTTTATCTTCAAACTTCCTCTCCAACCAGCCATGCTACAAAAGAAATAAGTAAAAGATAAAATTAAAAAGTTTAGTAATATGATGGA